CAGGCAGATAAAACCAAACCTGGTAAAACTACTCCTGCTTTATTTGCAGGTATGCCTCATGACTCACGCATAAGAAACATGACAAGCCTGTGTTTAGCATGCCAGAACTATAGATCATTGCATACTGCAGAACTTCTGTCAATGCTGGAAACAATTCTTATATAGTAAAGGTACCTTCACCACAGTGATACTTACTTAACCACCAAGTACAACCTGGCTAAAACCTCTACGTGAAACTCTGGCCTCTTTGAAACAAAGACCTGTTGATGCTGCCAGGGTGGGAACTTGTTCTGCAGTCAGGCTAACTGGGAATGTGGACAACTGTTGCTTGTAAAGTACTACAAGATTTGCAGAGGGGAAAGTGGTAATGAAAGTTCAAGAACAGAAGACCAGTTTTTCATATGATATAAATAATGAACTATAAGCATTTGATGGGAGAACATTCCAGTTTTCAGAAAGAAGCAGCATGGATGGGGGTGCACAAATTCATGTTTTCTAGAGTGTTTTAAAACTTCATTGGCACAAGCTACATGCAAAGTTCTGCTTTAGCTCTCTACAGAGCATGTTGCCCAGCTGTTCCCTCTTTTAGCTGGCCAGTGCCTCCTTTTAACCCATGAATTTGGTGATTCATCTTTCTATTCCATTACAAGAAGTCAAAATAAGCTAAGATCTGAGGAAGTGCATAGATGAAACCTCAAAACAAAGGGGAATTTTAAGCCACACTGCAACAGATAAGCATTTTAAGTGAATAAGCAGCTAAAAATCTGCTGGCCTAACAAATAAATTGGAAACTCAATTTGATGGAGCTTCCATCTGTATTTCTCAACTTTTGAATGCTACAAGATACTAGTTCAAAACTGCAGTGACTAGTCTAGGAATTGATAGGCAAGATTGTCATTGACTACAGTTTTGTGTGTTCAGCAGAAACCACGTAGAAATTGAAAATATAAGTCTCTGTCTGCAGGGTAATACAAAGTTCACAGAAGCTCTAAATGGTTTCTGGTACAACTATATTTTCATTATGGTTCTATCCACCTCTCTAAGAGGTTACAGCTCTGCTTCAATGACTTTCTAGACAGAAAAACAATGGTGAGAAGAGGACTGGAAGAAGCTCTGGGAGCTAGAAGGAAATTGCACAGGGAACTTCCCTCTTCAGATTCCAGAGAGCAGGGCAGCCTTTGACATAAAAAGTTTTGCCTACAAATGTTGGAGTGCCTGAGCTACAGGTATATGTTTATACTGACCACAGATACTAGTTTCATAACTCCGTAATTATTCTGACCTACAGTTAATATTGTCTCTTCATGCTTATGCTCACTATATTAATTTGTTTCAGGAGACTTTGAAGTATATTGAGATATACTGCATAGCCTTAAACGGAAGTTCATGGAGAAACTTATCCTAAACTGATAAATATCTATAGGGCAATTAACACTATGAAGATCCAATTCTGATGAGACTCCTCTATATAGAAGCAAATAAAGTAGGTGATACCTGGTTTGACTTGTCAGATTTAAAATAGAAAATGGGTGTACTTACTCATATGATGAGAAGCTAGACTTAGCACCTTAACTATGTTATGAGACCCAAACGACTTGTTTGGGTTTTCTCTTCCTTGCTGTTCTGGCTGAAACAATACAGGAAGAAGTGCATAAAGAAGCTGAACTGTGGTCCCTCAAGAGCTGGATGTGAATCTGTTGTTGCAAACCATGTGGATATTTCTAATCTACAGCATGGATGCTATGTAAGAAGGCAAAGCATGCACACTTTCCAAATGATGGCAAACCAAATTAAATAGGATAACTGTCTACAGTGTCCTCATCCTAGTGAACATAGTACATAAAAAAAATAATTCTGTGATAGTTCATATCGGGACAAAGATAAGCAGGCAACCCACAAATTATCAAGGGGGTTGGTGGAGGGGAAGCCATCCAGAAAGAAATCCCTGAGTTTTGAGTGTTAGGGAAATACATTACCGGTGTTACTTTTTTTATGAAAAAGGATGCTAAATACATATATTTAATAGTACACACCAACTCTAAAAATAAAATGACAGAATGAAACCTGAAGAATGTGTTGAAATGGTAAGTGAGGTCAAGTAAAATGCTATTTTGTAGTCTGACAGAGTAACCGTCCCATTTTCTGGAGAAAAAAAGACATAATCAAATTTCATGCATTGGAGATTATAGGACCAGCTGTGCATAAATACTTGCAGAAATAGAACTTGGCTAATATTCCAGAGGAATGAATCTTCAGTTACCAACTGAACTCATACTGCTTATAGTCAAACAAGTCTGCATTTTCATAGTACTAGACTACCTGTAGATATTAAGTGTAACAACTGCTGTTCAGGCAAGTGCCTTCAAAACAGGGCGTTGATGAACATACTTACAAGCTCTGTTGACAAATATCATCTCTGAAGAAGTTACAAGCTATGGAAGCTTTTGCTGGTTGCTTTCAATCTTTTCCTACACCATACTTACTGGACTGCCAGTGTTCAATTTTTAACTGGTGCCATAAAAATTCTTAGAATTAGTATAACAAAGTACATTGAATATCCTCATTTGCCTGCAAACATCAAATATTTCTCCTTTGGTTTTAATAATTTTTAAACGGTTAAATCCATGAGAAGAGGGAGTAAATGTTTCTGGCTTGAATTTCAGGACACTAGCCACAACATGCTTCTACACTAGTGTCATAGAGGAAGGAAAGCATATCTCTGCATTAAAGTCAGAGGGTGGATTTGGGTTATAATTTAATTTCCACAGCAGCGTGTCCCAATCAGTTGGAAAGCTTGTAATTAACCTCTTCTCCGGAACCACAAGTAAACAGAATTTGTTTGAGGAAACTTTGATTACTAAACGTGAACTGAATTTCCAGCTAGAATGCCTGTTCCTGTGTTAAAGTAAGCAAGTGTTTGGAAGTCTGCTTCTTCAGTAACGCTTTCCACCCTATTAACTGATCTTGCTACACAAGGAATTTAATACATACAGACCCTAGGTGTAATACTGTTTCTTGTGCTAAAAGCAAGTTCAGCTTGAAGTGCCAAGTTAGCAGGGTGTACTTAAGTTGGTGGAGTTGAACCACCTCCCTCCTGGGAGAGGAGGAAAAAGTTTTCAAGTACTCAAAGTATGAACTTAACAGCTTTTCAGAACATGTTTCTCTCTTCCTTTCTATTAAGAAAATTAAATTACCACACACAGCAGTAGAGTGGGAGGAAGATAAAGCATCTCTTTAAGATGTAATTCTTTCTAGAACACACACTAGCTCTCAGAAAAGTAAGTGGAAATCTGAGCTGGTGGCTGCCTTACAGAGAGCATGGTCACATCTGAGCATGAGTAGTTTCCTGTGTAGATGGCACAGTGGCTCAAGGCTTCCTCTCACAAATGAGGAATGTCTATTCAGCCACTCTTCTGCTTTATTAAAGGCATACAGAGATGTTTTTCAACTATTTTAACTTGCTAAAAGTTCCAATTATTAAATGTTTCTCCAAACTTTCCTTTTCTCAGACTTTATACTATCTGGACCCTAAGGTAACTATTGAAGCACTCTAGCGTGTTTTTGCAGAAGCACAAAGTTTTGCCTAAAACTGTCCTGTCAGAAGTAAAATTAATACCATGTTTTTCTCAAGGACAAGCAAAGGAAAACTAAACTTGAGGTACTTCAACACGGAAGTGCAAAGTATTTCTACCAAAGCTTCTTGCCCATGCTATACCTGCTTGAGATACTAAAAATTTACCTTGTCTAACATACTACCTTTCAAAGGGTAAAAAGCATTTCCTACTTAAGCCAACAAACAACAAAATGGATTATTTCATCCAAAGTAAACTAAAGTAAATTCTGCTGTCCAGCAAAGACTACATACAAACACAAGCAAAAAGCACTTTAAAAGTTTGTTCCCTAGTCTTAACTTTCCAGGTACTCCTCACTTCTACCAACAGCTTAGTCTGGCCAGAAGTTTATTCTTCTTCTAATTGCTAGCACAAAAGGTTTTTAAATCATGTTTTGACAGCTAAAATGCTACATTTTCATAAATAAAAAGAACTGTCAATAGTGCTAGTGCAGAAGCAAATGAACCAGATGTAGTTCTAACAGCTGCAGGACAGGACAATGACTCAAAAGTTAAGAAAAGCATCTGCTTATAGTTTGATAGCAGCTATTTATCTAAATCCAGTCTAGAAAATTAGATCCTGCTACAGCTGGCACAGAGATTATGAACATCTTGCTGGACAAAAAAGCCCCCACTATTTAGAAATAATAGTATTAGGTCAAGAGGGTATTCTGTTCACTTCTGTCCTCACTGTAAAAAAGAAAACAACCCAATCAACCCACAACAATTCTGGTGTCTAAAGGTGAAGCTAACAAGCTTGCATTTGTCTTCCAAGCTTAGAAGTTACTATAGTAAAATACAGTAA